CTTCTTGGTGCAGCCTTGCTTTGCAGACAGTGCTAACCTGGGACACTGAAGACGTGTCAACATTATCTAGCCGACTGTTCAGCGCCCTTTCTATGTATAGTGCCACCTACCTAAAATGGTGTCTTCATTTATTTAGCCTTCTGTTGCGCAAAAAAGCATCTCATTTTCACCACTTAGGGGTGAGAAGTGCGGAAGCCATACCAGAGCAAGGAAGAGTTATGAAATTCATAAGTTGTTTATTTCCAGTGCATTGATCTCAAATCCGTTCATTCTTGTAACCTCAGATCTGTCCTCTCATTTTGGATCCACCTACTCACAGTCAGATTAAAGTAACCTCCAATTACCCAACTATGTATAGTTGTCATTTGTCAAAGGGGAATGTTAGGGCAGCTGATTTATTCTGCATGATGGATCATAGACAGGATCCCCTAGGTCTATCAATAAGTCATGTGACCAACTGCGAACCCCAAGGAACCTTCCTAACCTCCTACGCTTCGATTGAAAGTGGAGTAGCCGAATTTTTTAAGCGTATGCGAGTTAACTCGTTGCCTTCAACATAGCATGCACGAAGAGTTCGTGTGCCGTGGCCGGTGTGTCCAGTCACTCACAAGTGACCCATGCATCTTGAGTCAGAATGGATACCACCATTACTGTAGTCAAGAGACGATAAGTGTTGTGTGTGTGGGTTTAGTAGGCGGTCCTCCAATTTCTGGTGAAAGCAGCGATGACATAAGCTTAGTGGTGATGGAACGCCAAGCAGCAATTTCACTGTCAGTGATGCCACCCTCTGTGGTAGTTTTCCATCCAATCACCACAGTGGTAATTTCTCCCTGCATTTTAGAGCGCGAATTGTCTGATCTATGTGCAGGCCTTTTTAGGTTTTTAAGATACAAGCCTTCATAAAAATATGTGAGCACGTTTTGCATCAGTCAAGTCGATGTTGTACACAAGGACAATTGCTGAATATACGAAGGCCTTTTAAGTAAAACTAATAAAAAGAATTCATAAATAAAGCTTATAATATCATTAACAGATAGGTGGCATCGAGAACAAATCCAGTGGACGACGATGCGTTCACATTGGCGAGGAGGGTACGAGGAGTTGTGCTGGGACTACCATTCACCTTTTTTGTGGCCGCAACCCTATTTGCGTTGTTTTTCTCCCTTCGGACCGATGACAAGCATACTGGAGTATGGAAACAGTGAGGCAGCAGTTAATTCAGCAAATGCGTTTGCTCAGGTCATTTTCAGTTGGTCCATCCGTCTATTCCACACGTAATAAAAAGTCATAAGCAAAGTAAACATTAATATTTGCATCTAAAGCAGGTGTTTAATCTGTTTATTAACTACGGCAAATGGTATTGGCTATTTGTAAAAAAACTAGTCCGGGGACTTACTCTAAGCAAGATCAGATAGTTCTGCTTCCTGGGTAAGCTTAAAGCACAGAATCGTCGTAAATACCATCTTCATTGTTCTCTAAAATGCAATAAAATAGAACAAACTTTGCTGGCTCCATTTAACGCTTCCTTTTTGTTTCCAATTTGCAGGTTTCTTACACACATTCAACATGATGAGGTGTTTTGGATCGATTAGTTCTAATCACTTTCCTTGACTCATTTCTCCTGTTGTCACGACTTCAGCAGTACACAGGGTGGAAAAATCTATGACGAAATTCCCCTACTTTAACTCTTAACTAGGCTTGAAATTAATAAATAATCCCTAATATTCTAAATTTGTTGTTTGTAGGATGTGGGCTCACGAGCCCTAGACCTGTCGACATCTCAAACCGTGGCTCCCATCACCGATACATCTGAGTTAACTGAGTGTCTGGCCACCAACTTCCTAATGAGCGAATGGGTCTTTCACCGCCACCATCGCATAGCATATCCACCGTTGTCTTTACCATCACTAGCGGTTTCTAGACCTGTCAACTTGTGTATGTTATATGTCGCGGCTGCCATCTACCGCTGCGAGTATTACAGTCATAGTAGCACCCATCTCGGTCCTTCAACCAAATTGTTTTGTCATGCATCAATCTAATTCTCATTTACTGGAATTGCCCTCATTTGCATGTTAGAAAATGTTGTAATTCCACTGAAGCAGTAGGCAATTTTTCATGCAAGATTCAAATAAAGAACGGCCTTCTAGAATGCCAATTTCATGATGTCATTTTGAATTACAACGGACATTTTAGCAAGCAAATTTTTCCAAATGGCTTAGTTGGATTTTATTAGTATCCTACTCCTCATCCATTGATAGAACTAGTCTAATTAGGCCTCCGCACTGAATATATTGCCAGAATGCCTGGTGATCATGGTGGAGTTGCTAATGCTGATCATTGTGTTGGTAGGGGATAATTGTACGATGCTTCATCATTATGGCCTTCGAGTTTTGGTTAGCAAAATTTTAAAAAGGTACATTTACCTGTGAAAAGAGTTGAACAAAGTCGATTATTGTTGCGTAAATCTTCTTAGCTAGAAGCATGAACTTTAAAACTTCAGCCATGGTAAATCTGAATTACTGTGCTTGTGCTTCAAATCTGTGCGTTGATCAGTGGAATGGGTGAAAAATATGTGAACAGATGAAATAACTGGGAAATAGGAAGTAGGTTTATCTCCTTTCATGCATCTCCATAAGTCTTTGTTTCTCCTGACCAGCACTAACACACTAAATTCAACAACGAATCGGGCTGTAAACATAAAAAGTTCTAAGAATTATTACCATGTGTGGTGCACTTACCCTGGTTAGATGACCTCAAACTTTGGTGCTCTCTAAGTGATGGGAAGTATTCCCATAATATTTCATTTGCCCGACTCACAACTAGAAGCAAAGTCTCTCTCTTCATTGTAGTCACAG